GAAGTCTGCTCTCAACGGCCAAAATATATTATGGCAACTCGTATTTCGGCAGAAAGCGCCGTGGATGTTTAGCGTTATAACCTTCCAGCTAACTGTATGAAGATCATGTCCATTTGGCTGCTGCCTGCTCAAGCTCGCCTGAAAATCAAATATAAGACGAAAGGGTTTTTTGAAGAAGGAAACACAGCAATTGTTTCGCCTTACTCCAAGGACGGCATCTGCTGTCATGCATTCCGTAACGCTTTTGTGCTCTCTTCCTTGTTTAGTAAATATGACCCCTTTTGAACAAAGCTACGAGTTTGTAACAATAACAGGCTGCTCTCTTTAACGTATCGCAAGCATAACACTTAAGCAATGTGACCATAGATATATGATGCCCCTAGATCAGAAACGGCCATACACATAGCGTGCTCGGCGAATAGAGGCATTGTGCACCGCATTAAAAGGAGTAATCCACATTTGCATACTGTTTTGAGCTGAAATGGCCATCTTGAAGATCATTCACAACAATGCACAGCCCTGCCCTTCTCAAGCTTTAAATCCCTCTAGTTTCTGAGTTACACACCCGCGAAGATGTGCAGTCTATACCGTGCAGACTATTTCAAGGTCACCCAGGTATTTATGACGTCATTGTGACGTCATTCAAATTCTGTAACGCTATCGGCAGTGCGGCGATCAAGGCCAAGATAAATCCGATTGTAGAGTCGTTCATATCAGGCGTTTTTAAGCCTGAATTTCAGACATAACGGTCGTCAATTGGATCTCAATCAATGTTGTGCAAGGCATAATCACGCAATCGAACAGTGACATATCGAACGGCATATTTACTAAAGGGAGACTGTGCTGTCTAGAGCAGTGTTTTCTACGTAAGCCAATAGTTATAAATGAGCTTCTTTCATTATATCTGATGTTCGTTTCACCCTTAAATCTAAACCAACAAGCGTAAGCGGCCGAGGTGTGATCAAGGAAACTAAGCATCCACTTTGGCTGATGAATGCGTGCGTGTCACGAAAGGGAACAGTCACAAAGCAAAGCAACCGATGTTGCTCCACATTCAATAAAGCTGCTGGCAGGATGAGGCCATTTTAGGCGATGTATGGAGCCAATCCAAGCATGTTTGCGTTCGACTTCGCACGGCGAGATGATTTGGTGAATTGCAAGTTGTAAAAACAATAATTCTGACTTAATGATGCAACAACAAATTTTTTAAAAAAAGACAACTCAGAACACAGTCGACATGCAAGAAAATTATGGAGACTTAACAGAAACCAGGACTACAGTGTAATTTCAAAGCAAGCCTCGAGCGGGCCTGATGATTCTGGACAACGCCCGGTCTTAACGGTACTAGCGCATTGGCCGGCACTACCGCAGCCACGAAATTCCCTGGCCTCATTGGAGCCAGCGTAGTCACCGATCCCATGAGCTGCAGCGCAGCAGCCGATCAACGGCAGCCTGTTGGCTGAGAACGCAGCACTGACCGGTTTAGCGAACTTCCGTTCCCAAGGCTAAAATGCGCCTCGAAAAGAGTCATTGTGGTAAATGCGATAGGGTAGAAAGTGAAAGCAATGGTATAGTTTTTCGTTGAATTCGCAGGATTATAACGTCGTGTTTGCATATGTTTTTGTCTTAACAGTGTTTTAAGCTTTTGTAGCATTTATTAAGCTAACGTTTTGACACATTAGCGTGTTGCAAACAGTGCATAACACACACGTCGGAAAAGGCAAGGCAAATAAAATACATTACCTCCATAGTGGTGAGCAGGGAGCCAAATGAGATTTCTCCCACATGATCAGCTATTTAACATGAAAATTCTAAACTTTTCGGAACGACCTATAGAGAGCTGGTATTATGATCAAATTGTACGCGTCTGATGTAACACTACGTAAAAAGCACAAAAGGTGGGATAACCCTTGAAATCCGTGCAAAAATTCGCCATACCACTTGATGATTCCAACGAGCAAAGACGTTCTGAACCTTTGACATGACTGCGCAGCACCTGTGCTGGCCGCGATCGTATCATGTGACCTTGAGACCCTTACCACCGACTACGCCCCACATGCGCCACACCGTCTAAACTAAAACATCATTTGTCTTGATTGGCTTCGAGCCCTGCTTAGCCCAGCCAGCACAGCGTCTCGCGTAACGCAGTACAATGCCCCACAGTTTTCCCAGCAACCACTGCGTCATCAAAGAACACGCAGACTGCTAAAATGTCTGCCAACAGCGCGTCCATTGTGCCCTGGAAAACTGATATCGCTAACGCTTAGCCAAAACGGAGGCAACGTTGGCCCCAGCAGTCTCGTTTTATCGACCGTCAACGGTTCGCGTGGGTTCACTCACTACCATCTGGTTGCAAGGGAACTTGAAGACGGCTGCGAGACAGCTAGACAGCTGCTACGCTGATGATGAGCAGCTCCTCGACTCGTGGTAACTAATAATGTTCTACCCAGGACATTCCTGTTCATGGTGAGCCGGTAGTCACCGCGCAGCCAAATACTGCCCTCAGCCTTTGGAACCACGACTAAAGGAGTAGTCCACTTACTCTGTGGGATCGATAGTAAAATGACCGAGCTGCGCGGCTGGGAAGCTAGAGGTGCGGGGCTCAATTCCCCGCGGTGCCAGCCGTTCCTGTCATGGTGAGAAGCAGGCGGTCCAGGCGATCTATCTGCCCACAGCAGCTGACTGCGTCGGCAAGACCCAATGACAACAAAACAGCTGTGTTTGGCGGGCTCCTACGGTCCCTGCAGAATTTACTTGCCTAGCTAAGCGTCTGCCTGCCCGTGATAGACCAGTGTCACATTCCAAGACTTGGGAGCTTTGGTTTCACGCCGGCGTCCACGGTGACTTTCACATTGGCACCTTTGTTACAAGCTAATCCCTCGCCGAAAACTTCAGTAAACTCGTTTAAAAGGCACTCGCCCGAGAGTGCGCAGTTACGTGATATATGGGTTGCTAATCTAAGTTCCAGCGGCACAGCAATTCGGCCCAAACAGAAACGGCACCTTGTCTTTCATTGCAGTCAGTAGCGGCTGCGCACGATGATCACTATAACCATCAGCCACCGCATACAACCCCCAAAACCAATCACCTGACCGCACTCCACGACCATAGGCCTACAGTTTTGCCTGACACGGTCTGCTTTTCGCCCTTTCACCAGTCACATGCATCTGAACACCTCTCTGAGCAGACACACGGAGCTGCTCCAGTGTCCAGGGGCGTCAATTTGTATTCTTTTGTGAGGGCCTTAGCCCCCCCCCCCCCCCCAATATTGAAGTCGGCCCCCCAACGTTGGGTTGGGCCCCCCCCCAATTGTTTTTCTGGCATTTTAAATAAATACACAGCAAATTAGCTGTAATGCAGCCCCAACTTTAACCTGTGCATATCTCTATTGGGATTATACAATGAACAAACTACAATTTCATTCAAATAAAGCATGCTAGCATAAAAACCATACCCAAAGCAACTCTGGTTTGAGTATTGGCAACCATATTCTCATTGAGATCAGATTAAACACACACACACGCACGCACGCACGCACGCACGCACACACCAAAACAAAAAAAAACTACCTCCATCTCAGTCCACAACCAATGCAATTCATTCCTTCTCACATGGTGTCAGGGCAATGACCAGTTATGGTTACTTCTTTCTTGCCAAAGTCTTCGGTACCAATGATAAATTGCTAGAAAAAAAACTCAGAAAGCAGACGATCAGCCTTGCCTAGCTCTCCTGCCTACCACTAAGTATTCTGCAAGCTCCACTCAGGCCCAAATATTTCAGCATTATGCCACATGCAGCCTTTATTTTGACACATGACCACATCACTGATGACTCCAGCTGCTGCAAGCTTCGGTAAGGATTGCATCAATCAGTGCTCTGTCCTCCATTACTTTTGATATTATTCACCACTTACCAGCTACTCCTGCTTCTTAATCCGATAAGTGTAAACGCGGGCAGCCATAAACATGCCTGTTTTTGTTGAAGCATCCCAGTAGACCGCTCAAGAGCGGAATGCTCAGCGTGCGAAACACGTGAATGACCATCTACCACTGTTCTTTTGCTTTCAAAAACATCAAACGCCCGTGACCAAGGTCAAAATCGGTCACAATACAACGGGCGAAACCAAAACAGGGCAGAAGAACCTTGACTACCGCATGCCATGCCGCATGCTACGATGCTACGGGCGGTGCGTCCGTCTGACACTGATGCGTCATGAATTGTTACGGTTAAGTCGGAAAATACACTGCAATATTTGTATTTGCTCTCGATATCCATGATTGGTAAGGACGGAAAGCACTTTATTAGCCTTTCTAGCGACAATATCTCTATGAGATGCAAAAATGTCCAGAAAAACAGCTTTAAATTGCAAAGCCCCAAAATTACATTGAATCATGACACAGCCCCTGGTGTGTAAGGCATGATATTCTCTACCAACGCAGGAAAAAGGATGCCAACCATGAGCCACGGAAAGAGGCGCGGGTGTTTCACCGCGCCGGGAGGCCCAGGCGATAGCCTTGGCCCAGGCGGATCGTGGCTTGTGTTGGTAGGAGGGGTCAGCCAGTCCAACTGGATAAGTGGGCTAGCTTGGAGTTAAGCATAATTCATGAGCCTCATGCTGAGTTGTAAAAGAAATACTCACAACCACATATGCTGCATATTTACACACGCAAAACGTCGTCGAACTGGGAAGGGGGAAGAGGAGCAGGGATATATAAGATCATGTGGGCAAATGGTGGTTTCCGTCTAAGCCATAGTCCGATGTGCCCTCACCTTTTGTACCAAAATATCATGAATGGATAAACTATTGCCTGGGCCTATTTGCCATGTGCATACAAGTGTAGATAAGTACAGTCAATTTTCTACTAGTTTTACTTTATAGTTAAAGAAAACATGCTTGTCATGTCCAATGGTGCCTAATGCTGCAGTCACTTCAGAGCATTCTTGATGCATGAAATTTTATTTTAATACATATCTCAGAGATTGTCAATGGGAGTGAAAGGATGAAGATATCAAAACAGTCCAGCATCAGCTTGTTCTTTGACAAATGGTAAGTAAGATTGCCAAAGAAGTACATATCCCTATATAGTTAAAACCTACAGCCTTTATTTCTCACATCACTGTAGCATGCTCACTGCAGGTCATTGTTGCTGTGGCTGCTTCAGGCTTGGGCAACAGTGAGGAACAAATTACTGAATTTGCCAGGCATTCCTGGCACCTAAAATGGACGCATGCAAATTTTAGAGAAAACATTTCAACTCATCTTGGTGTTGAAACTTTGCTTTCCTGCAGTGATGCCAGGTCCTAGAATGCCTTGTGTCCTCAGAGATCTGTCACTACTGTGTGTAGCCCTCATTACTTCTCTATTGTTCCTTTTTCTGAGTAGCTTATTTTTTTATAATGCACGTGTTAGAATTTTATGAGAAGCTGAGATGCTCTGGACTATCGTGACAGGTGATGACCATTCTTGACTTCAGATCAAGGCTGTTCTGTTTTTGCAATCAATCATATGTGCATTTGGCATGTCTATAGTCATTGTAGGCACAAACCCCAATGTGGATGAATGAAATTACCTCTTGATTTCATGTTCCCCATATCTTTGTCTTATGCCTATGATGTGTTCCCTATGCTTTCCTATGATAATCAGTTCAAGAGGTTCAAGTTCAAGAGATTTATGGCATGTTTGGACAATGACTGGTGCATTATGGGATAAACGTATCCATTGCTATTTTCTGGAAGGTGTCCTTGGCTCTGGCCATTGCCATGCACCCAACCTCTTTAAGGTCCTACTGCCTCCGTTCCGGATCCTGATCAGTGTGGAGATCCATCTACTTCCAGTGAGTGTAGCTGATAGTGTCGTTTTTAAAGGTATGTATCTCGTGCCATAGTGCATCATTTGTGCAGAAGTATTGTTATGTTTCAGGGAAACCAACGGAACAGGGTTTGATTCCCTGTGCTCCCGGCCCATTCTGTGAAGGGGAGAGCCAGGCGATGCCATAAAGTCTCAGTAGCTGAGTGTGTCATGTAGCTCTAATCACACTCCCTGCCATGGAGTTCATCATTCCTCACCAGTGATGTTCTTGGTAGGATACGGATAGTGAAGGGTAAGCTGCATGCCACCTGCCGGCAGGCATATGAAACTGGCCAGATAAAGAGTGGCTCGTGTTTGAGGTGGCGACTCCTTTGGATTTTTCATTTTCCACCATCTTGGTATCTTTCACTACAATCCACACAGGTTTTCATGATAGCAGGAAGCCTTCTCAACATTGCTGGCGTGGCAAGTATATACATTATAGTTTGTATGGTGTTGGGCTCCGTCTTGTGGAAAAAGCACGGTCCAGAGGCTTAAACTATTGGTCTAAGGGTTTAGAGCTGTCCCAATGATGGATGATATGTGTCAAATCCGGTTTGTTACATGTAACAAAAAAGCAAGCAGTCGTGACGCCGTCGGGCGCACTGGTACTCCGTCGTTCGCAAACAGCATGTTTAGTATACAGTCGAGGCTTCCCCTTGAATTACCTTCATTTTTTATCTTTCGGTGGGGGCAAAATGTTGGAAGCCTCTTCACAGCATGCTGGCACCAGTGGCTTCGCCCGCCAAATAGTCAGAGAACCACTTGGTATCAAGATATACACTCATTAGGTTGTAAGCGAAAAGCCTTGGCGATGCGCGGCATCTATACATTTTTAAAGATCCCAGAAAAGTAAAGTCAAAATATCACCGTTGCCCTTGGCATGGATGACGAGATCAGAGATGGCGCTGAAGACTGTCTCGGTGGAGCGGTGTTTTTGAGATCCATCTTGCGTAGAAGTCAATGGTTAGTGTGTCTCCAAGGTGGGGATCAGCTTTGTCTACGTGTCGCTCAACAATATTCATGTTAAGTAAAATGGAGATGGTACGCGCATCGGTAGGGCTGCTGTTGGCTGCCTTTCTCACTGGCGTGGATGTGATAAGGGCGCGCTGTTACGCAGCTCGGACAAATCCAGTGGTCAGCCTATAATTTGCCTTGTTAAGAAGGGCGAGACCGAAGCCCGATAAGAATGTTTTGTCACATTGTCACACTCGCGCCATCTTCTCCGGATGATTTCGACGGCTTTATGCTAAGCAGCTTCCCAGGTTGTAAATGTCTGCCGGCTGGATCTTAGGAGCACTAGCAGTCGCTCGAGGCAAGTCCATCAGATTTTACTGAGTATGAATCAGACACTCGGGTTGCGTCTCGTGCTGCTCGAATTAATTGGCTCGAAAGATTTCGCCGCGTCGTTCGTCGCTGTTTTGTGACTGACGCCGTGCTTTATCAAAAGACACTCATGCCCGAATAAAAAAAAATAGGAAGGTAAGTCCGTCGACGTGTGAAAACGTCAGAAAGCCCGTTTTCTGTGCGATATCAGACTCCACAGGCCTACACAGTTTTGTGGATTGCTGTATCACATATACATATTCACTTTGGTATATGTAAAGCTGAACCATCTGGAATCAGCTGTACAGTGCATCTCTGGTTTTAATCGGAGCATCGTATCCTTCCAAAGATCCATCTGATCCTGCCACAGACCGAGCCGAGTCACCCGATTCCTCCGTTGACCGCGCCGAGACGTCTGCCGATGCCACAGCACTGTCCCGACACCGACGCACCTTCCAACCCGAGTGGCGGCGTCGTTACCCCTGGCTGGAGTACAGCACACATTTGGAGGGCGTCCTTTGCCGAAAGTGCGTCGCAGCCGAGAGTCAGGGGCTTCTGGGGAGCGCCACAAAGCGTGACGCCGCCTTCACGGCTCGAGGATTTAGTGCGTGGAAGCGGGCGCTGGAACGCTTTCGAGCCCACGAAGCCAGCGCCTGCCACCAACTGGCTGTACAAAGCCTGGTCACCGCCAGCGGACCAAGTAGCGTGGCAGCGCTCGCCGGCGTCGGCAAGGTGAGGGAGCAGGAGGAGGCGCGGCACGCTCTGCGGCAGATATTTGACGCTGTCATTTACTGCTCAAAGCAGGGCTTGGCCCTCCGCCGCAGGGACGAGGAGGCCGGAAATGTCATTCGGTTTTTGACGACCGTGGCGCAGCACGATCCCGTACTGAAGCGGTGGCTCGCCCGGCGCAAGGAGAGCCGGATGCACTTCACCAGCCCAGAGGCACTGGCGGAGGTGCAGCGGCAGCTGGCTCATGCCGTGATCAGGAGGGTGGTGGACGAAGTGGGTGCGGCAGAATCATTCGCCTCGTGGTGGACGAGACGGCAGACGTGGCAGGGCGCGAGCACATGGCCATCTGCCTGCGCTTTGTCACAGAGGCGCTGACCGTCAGGGAGACGTTCATTGGATTGTATCAGGCTGACTCCACCACGGCTGCAGCACTGCTTGGTCTCATCCAGGATGCCCTCACTCGTCTTCAGCTCCCGATGGACCGAATTCGTGGTCAGTGCTACGACGGCGCTGCCAACATGGCCGGCGCTTTCCGAGGCGTGCAGGCCAGAGTGAAGGCGGTAGAGCCGCGCGCAGTGTTCGTCCACTGCACGGCCCACCGCCTGAACCTGGTCTGTCAGGAGGCACTGAACGGCATGCGAGAGGTCCGGGACGCCATCCAGGAGGTCGGTTGACTGGTATCTTTTTACCGCGACTCGCCGAAGAGGATGGTTGCGCTAGAGCACGCTGGAGCCCAGATGTCCCTGCGTCCGCTGTGCCCCACCCGATGGACCTGCAGCGAGGCGTGCCTCCGGCGTTCCTGACCTCCGTGGTCAAGCAGTACGGGCCCCTGGTGACCAGCGTTAATGAGCTCGCGGACGAGGCTAAGGTGCGTCCGGAAGTGTTAGCCACTGCTAGCGGCTTTGGCAAAACCCTCAGAGACTTTGAGTTTTTCTTTGGCCTGCGCGTTGCTCTGCCCCTGCTCCAGGTGACCACACCCGCCATGCGCACTATGCAGGGACAGTCGCAGTCGGTGTCTGCCAACCTGGGGGTTGCACGTGCTGTCAGGGATGTCGTCCTGTCCCAGCGTGACCGCTTCGAACGCCTTTGGGCGGAGCTGACGTCCGACGCGGAGCGCCTGGGAGTGGGGTGTCCCGGGCTGCGACGCCCGCTTCGACCACCTCGGCGACTGGACGGGGGCTCCGAGCCGCACCAGCATGCCTGTCCCAAAGGCCGTTACCGCCAGGCGTACTGCGAAGCCGTCGACTGGTTGGCCGGCTCCATCAGCGGTCGGTTCGACTCAGATGAGCCCACTCTAGCCACGGCCGAAAAAGCGCTCCTTACGGCGGAAGAGGACGCGCTGGTGGCAACCGCCACCTTCTACAACCTGGACCTGGAGCGACTCCGCCTCCACTGCCAGATGTTGGTGGATGTGGCGTCAAGCCAGAGAAAGGCACCACTGACCTCCCTCGACGACGTGGTGGCCCTACTGAGCGATGAGGGCCTGCGGCAGGTGCTGCCAGCCGCTACCTCGCTGCTGCGTTTGGTCCTGACCGCCCCAGCAACATCGTGCACGGCAGAGCGGGCGTTCAGTCTTCTTCGTCGGCTGAGGGGATGGCTGCGCTCTACCCTAGGCCAAGAACGGCTAAATCACGCCGCAGTGCTGGCCACATACCCAGACATGGTGGACGCCCTGGATCTACAGGCCGAACTGAAGCAGCTCGCCTCAGCGTCAAGTCAGCGGTGCAACACTTTCGGCCGCTGGTAGGTCATAAAGTGCTTGCACCTACCGCCGCTGTCCAGCGCCTAGCAGCCGCCGCTGTCGTCCAGTGGTATGTCGTCGCCGCTACCGACTGCCCAGTGTTGTGCTGTCACCTTCGTAGCTATATGCCACTGTTGAGCCGCCGCCGCCGTTGCCTCTACAGTGCTGCACCAACGCTTACGACAGGTCAAGCGAGGCTGCTTTTTAAGTTTGCGGGAGCGCGATGGATATCTTTCCCTGAAGGCAGGAAGAGAGGCTCCATTTTCTTTTATGGGGATTGAAATGTGTTGCTCGAGACTGAAAATACACACCCAAAATCGAAGGGTTTTGTGATTGTAATTAGGTGCTCTGTGATCCCACTCTGTCCATTGGCTGCTTTGGGAGACCGGGGGAAGTGGTATGGTGGTAATGACCTCCCACAACGCGGTTTGAAGGTATAAAGCTGTTTTTTTTCTAAAAAAATGGCAGGTTTTGTCAAATGTGGAATGCGCCCAACTCGCTAGCATTTCTGCCTTTAGTTCATAAGAACTGAAGTCTTCTCTATAAAACGGAAACGAACAAAACGAAAACTAAGTGACCGGAATGCGATTAGTTTTTTTTGGGGGGGGGGGGGTGAGTGGAGGCTAACCCATGAATCGGGCATTTGTTTTCGCCTATGCCTGGCGGCTGAATCGACCACTGGGTTAGGCCCCCCCAAAGTTTTCAAGAAATCGACACCCCTGCCAGTGTCCAACTTCCCGCACAGCACAGGTCGACCTTCAGAGCCAGACCCGCGGTTTTTGGTTTGCCCTTATCACCCGCGAGAGCTGCTTGAGCCTGGCAACGTGCAGGTCACCCTCACTAGCATAGATGGTCGTCCGACAGCAGGGCCTACAGCTGTCCCGCGGGAGCAGCCCCGCCACCTTCAAGGAGTCTTCTCCGTCCGTTACTTGCTGGATGCGCTTGGCGGGTGGGGATTGTGGCAGACAACTCGGGCATGACTTAGGGCACCACATGCAAAGCTGCTACAACCAGAGTGGACGGGCCGCTGAGACGTGTCACCAGCTCAGTCAACGGAAGTACGTCTCACACTGCTGGTCTCCCGCGCTGCTTCGGCATCCACCAGCGCGCTGATCAATGGGAGTCACTGGCAGGTCCCAGTACGGCTGGCGCAAGTAGGTTCCACCGCTGCCACTGGCTATCTTCCTCAGCCGTGGTGATCGCGTTCCCGCCGGCCAGCTCCCTCCAACCGGCTGATGATGCTAACTGGATCTGTCCGGTCACCAGGGTCAGCAGCAGTGGCGGCCGACCTCAGGTGGGTGACATAGGCGGTCATGTTTCTGCCGGGGGCTAGACCCGTGCGACCGCCCGTTTAACCTCTGCCGGTGGCTAGACCCGTGCGACCGTTCGTTTGACCTGCCCCCAAACAATCACCCGCGAAGACGAGTCACAAACAGCCGGTGTTTAAGTCTTCCGACGGACCACACTGCATGAAATACCTGCACGCTAAAAGCGTGCTTCGCTGCTTTGCTTTATTTTTTGATGAGCCAGTTTTACTTCAATTTTAATGAAGTGAGCTGATGCATCATCAGAGCAAATATAACGACACGCGGCTCGCACGCTACGCATGCATGCACCGAATACGCGCCCAACTTCTTTGGAATTGGCGTTTACATAGCTACTGCTCAGACGCAAACATCAGATGTTCCAGTGACGCTGAAGACTAGCACTATCATAACGAGTTGCCACCTAAGACGATGCATGTGAGGACGCACATTACAGCTCCTAGACCCTCACTAGACCTTTCGGCGGGCGGGGAAATTCGAGACATCATGTGACGCCCACGAGTGGTGAGCGATCCTACCTAGACTTCAGCGTATTTCCTGTCGAGGACACCATTCAAACGTTGTGGGAAGACAAGTTATGGTAGTTTCTCAACAGCTGAGAAGGCGAACTCGTGAACAAAAGACAATGAACTGGTCGTCGAACACTGTGCTAGTTTCGTGACAGCCATATATATTTCACAGCTGGTTTTGACCCCTAACGTGCTTGCGAACAGCTCAGCACTGAGACCGCGGCAATTTTCTCAGGCCAGATTTTCCGAGATCTCCTTTAGCGTTTGTTTCAAATAATTAAAGAGGTGGTAACGACCCACTAGAGAGCCAATTTTGATAGATCGTGTGACATGCGGGTGCAGTAAAAGGGAAAAATATGGAAATATTTGACCCAACAACCTTTTCACATGGCGAAGGAAAACATTTAGATGAGCAAAAATGTTCCAGCCATGTTCGCGTTTTAAACACATCCGCTCAAAATGGCTTTCACTAAGAGCTTTGGCTTAACTTACATCCCAAGCTTGGCATAATGCCTGACATTTACTGTTCCCATAGTACGAGCAGTCTCAAATTCGTCAACGCGTATGTTGAACCCCCCCTAAAAAAACAACACATTGGAGATGGATCTAGCGTCAGGTGGGAGGCGACAAACCGTTTCAATTACTGAGAAATTGTGAATGTGCACTTGTCTTTAAAGTAAGCATGTCTAATAGAATTGAGATTTTTATTCTGCACGTAGGATGGAAGGGAATTTTGATTTATATCGATGGTACCCTTTGTTTCTACGAATTTGCACACACCGATAAGATATTTCAAGTGCCCCAATTTTTCTGGAAGCACAAAGTTGTAGCGTGACGCCTAAGACGATATTCAACACTAATTCAACGCTCAAATCACGAACATCGTTACCGCCGGCAAATCATCTTCCGATAAGGGAGCTCATCAGAAATAGCAATAAATTTCGACCGGCTGGACTGTGGCCATTACGCAAACAACGCATTGGTTTGCAGTTTTACGACAGGATTCAGAAGATGTATTTACATAACGGATAGTATAATTGTTCCGATTGTCGTCCTAATTCGTTCTTAATTTGTAAAATCTAACACACCAGGTGATGACAACAGTCCGAACAATTATTGTATTCGTAACACGCAATTACTTACATTGAGTTTGAAGTGTGTGCCATCTTCGGCCGGCAGCAAAGCTTGGAGAAATATCAACAACGTCTACTTTTTGCTAGGAATGGCATTCACATTGCAAACGTGGGTAATTGCAGCAGATAATTTGTGGGGCCGAGGGCAAATTCCGGATAATTTTCAAAGCATGGTCAAGACAGGATTTTTTCTTCTTCGCTCTGCCTAGCTATGTCCATTAACTTTGTATGGCGCAACCGTGATGAGACCCGGGGATAAAATCAAGACATGCGAAACATAGCTGGAAAACTTCCGCAGATGATGACCGGAGTGATAATCACTCTATGAAGCATTTTATCACGGCCGAAGGCACCATTTCCTACATTGCGTATGGTTTAGAGGGCCATACATGTACTTCAAATTCATTTTTATTTTTCATCAAGTTGTCTGTTATTTGGCAGTGAAACATGCACACTTCTTGAAGCTTTTGCTGCAGTTTTTTTTTTTAAAACGCTTACCAAGCATGTGGCCAGGGTTGAGAAAAGCTGATTTACCGGACATGGTCGGGGACAAAAACTGATACCTTTGCGAACTAGTTGATGACACATTTCCGAAAATGAGACATATTCTACAGACAAGACCATATTTCAACAGATTATCCCAGCTCGACGAAACTCAATACTTAATATTGGTCTGCACTCGCTAATGCTTGCAGCGGGAGCACGTGTCGAAACGTTGACGCTTCGCTGCACGTGCAAGTTGAGCCGTACGATGCTGCCAAACATAGCACCTCTAATCAGGATAGTTTTTGGCAGGTGACAGAAACATACTACAAAGTGTACTTTATCAGTGCTGACGGCACAGATCACTGGTTACACAGTCTGGACGGGGGCCCTATATGTTAACCTGCTCGGGCGCGCTGGATCGTTCAGACCCCTGCGCATTGTGTCGTGAGTATTTCTTATCTGAATGGATGGCCCTATGTTCTTGGCGAGCTCCATCTATTCAGCTGGTCGGGCCGGCGGCGGATGCAGAGGGTCGAGGGGGGGGGGGGGAGTCACGGGACCACGCCCCATGGACCATGCCAAGGTGACCTAAAGGCTACGAAGGGGCCCATAACCGACAGACGGACGCAGTTTTCGTACAACAAAAACACCACAAAATTGGATGCCTTCGGGTCTACAGACGGCCAAGAACCATTGTTAGCAAAAATAAAGAGTTCATACGCAAACAAAGTTTATTCTTCGCTGATTGAAAAAGTGTTGTTTGAGGGAAATTTTGGGGCTTATTACACTGTGTAAAGACATTAAACTGTTGGTTGCCTGGCCCTGTATGTCCACTTGCCAGTTCAATCTGATCGCTAAGGAGCTTTCCACGGTGGCCTTAATCTCTCTGCATTTTCTCATAGGGCACAATGTGCTTTTGGGACGCTAGCTGTCTCCATGTCTGAGCACTGTTCATCGATCAGGTTTTCCTCCACGGATTCTTCCCATTCGCCGAAAGGCCACATGCACTTTTTCCGGGGGCTCCATATGCCAGGGCACACCCATTTGTTCAGGTGCCCTTCATAAAAGTCTCGGGTTCTTTCTGCTAGCTTGGAGGGCCTTGTGCTGATGCTAAGGCTCTTATAAGGTAAGGCACGGAGACACTCGATGCTCAAGGGCATTCTGCTCTGATCGAGGGCTCTCTCCTTTTGGTCTTATTTGCGGAGGCCTCTTCACTCCTATCGAGGCTAATGTTGTTAACCAGCCCGTGCACTCTTGATCGCACAGGGGTATTAATTTATGGTCTTGGATAATTCCCATTTGCTCAGAGGGTCCTGTGGTATGGTCGGGGCGTTATATGTTGGCCTGCCGAGGCACTATCGATCGTTTAGGGGCCAACCCCGTTAGTCTTGGGTTCTTTTTGCTTGCTCCGGGGACCCTATACTTGTTGACGGGAGCCCCTTTGTTGGCCTCATGCGGCACCCATGATCGCTCATGTTCTGTCCATATTGGCCTTGGTGCTTTCGTCTTAGAGCAGCAGTCGAATATGGGCTGATGAATTTGTACGCGCAATTGTCGAACGTAATTTTACGTACCGCCGGCGTCGTATGTGTCATTTCCATTGGCTGTTGAGTGTGTTTTACTTACTATACTGGTGCATCTCGTTCTTAACATATTTTGAATGCTAGGATATGCTGTACTCCTTTATAACAAAGGACAAATTCTGCATTATTCATCAGCTATCAGCTGATTACATCGCACAGTCGGCTGGCTGTAAATACATAAGCTAGGAATTAAGTCCATGCTTGGTTTTGATGGTTGTTAGCAGCCAACTCAAGCTTATTTTGCCTGTTGTTCCAAAGCACTTAGCCTCAAAATCACGGCATTTAAAATGACCTGAAGAAAATGAGTGACCTTTATGTGTATGCATGCGTAGCACGCCAAGCTTTGCAAGGCTTTGCACAGTTAGACGGATTTCCGTATTTGTTAGATAAATGAATAAGTAAATGCACACCCACACCCACACCCACACCCACACACCCACACACACACACACACACACACACACACACACACCCACACACCCACACACCCACACCCACACCCACCCACCCACACACACACACACACACACACACACACACACACACACACACACACACACATGTATATATATATATATATGTATATATATATGTATATATATATATATATATGTATATATATATATATATATATATATATATATATATATATATATATATATATATATGGATACGTATATATAGATACCTATATAGATCTACCTATATACATAAATACATATATAAATATATACATGTATATATTACATACGGCTTGCCTTAAAATGTAATGACCGAAATGCAAGGATATTTTTCGGAGGGGGCCCCAAACTTCAATGAGCCCCATAATGTTGCGTGACCCCCCACCCCCTTGGCGAAACTCTGGATCCACCCCTGCGTGGTTGGCACACACCGCTTCCATAATCTCAATGTTGGCATTCACCACAAGGCATAATGTTTCCTTCCATTGTCAGAGGGCCCCGATCACCGCAAGAGGTCCTCTGTCATTCGGAGATCTGCCGATCGACGCAAAGGGTCCAATGACTATCATTCCTGGGTCCGTCCTGCAGGTCGGGGTCCCTGTATAAGACTACGGCCAGCCCTCTGTGCCTCTAACACTTCAATCGGGCCCTTGATCGTCGGATCTGGTGGACCCTCCAGGCTCTTCGGGCCTCCTCGAACACTGTCTTTGGCCGACTCGGGGGCACCTTGCCGACATAGCGCACCCGTTGGGCGCTGTAGGGCCCCAACAGATACAGGGGCCCCAGTGACTAGCGTAGATAGATGACCCC